ACAAACGCATTAAACGCATCATCTTTATTGGCAAGCAATATAGTCCAAGTATAACGAGAAAAATCATCTACAATTACAAAAGTAAAACTAGCTCCACCTAGGCTTTGAACGTCTACGGGCCCAAATAAATCCATATGTAATAGTTCAAGTGGCCTTGACGTTAAAACCATTTTTATAGGCTTAAATGATACTTTATGTTATTTTCCAAGGGAGCAAGCATCACAAAAACGAGAAGTAGGTATGCTCATTTTTGGTAGCCCAACAACAAGTTCTTTTGAGTAAAGTTTTCTCAAAAGATCATAACTAGCATGTCCTAGTCTACGATGCCATAGAGTTGAAAATTCAAGTGAAGTAGTAAGACAAGTGATTTTTGAGTTGCTTAAATCATTTGAATTGAACTTGTATAAGTTTCCATCTCTTTTAGCCTCAAAAATGATTTCATCCTTGTTTTGGCCATATAAAATGCAGGAATTTGCATTAAACTCAATTTTGTGGCCTTTGTCACAAAGTTGGCTTATGCTAATTAAATTAAATTTTAGGCCATCAACAAGATAAACATCATTTATTGAAAAGTCACTTGAAATACCTATCGTATCTTTACCAATGACCTTCTTCCGAGATTTGTCTCCAAGAGTTACATGTCCTTGACTTTTCTCCTTGAGACTTGTGAACCATTCTCTTGTTCCGGTCATGTGTCTCGAGCATCCACTATCCACAACCCAAGTGGTATTTTTCACCTAGTCAAAAAGGAATTTACTTTTGACTTATGTTTGGGGTTCCAATCGACGAATACCCTATGTCGATATACGGGTTTCGTCTTGGTAGGTTCTGGAAGTGGTATATGGACTTTTCGTTTTTCGTCATAATAAAAGAAATAGTATCCACCATCATTTCTTTTATTTTCCTGCAAAAAGGGTTTCTTTTGATATCCAATATTCTTGGATTCCGACCGGTTAGAACCCTTCTTGACCCATTTTAATCTATACATTTCAACTAACCATTTGTTTGGACATTTTGTCACAATATGGTTAGCTTGCATGCAATAGTGGCAAGCCCTTACTTTTGATTTAGAAGTGGAGGCTTGGTTTGATGGGTTAATTTTTGAGGTATTAAAATGATTTTTAGCCATACTCATCAAATTTGTGGTTTCACCATAGCCAATACCTTCTTTCGTTAGTTTTGGTTGGTT